ACCCCCACCCCCCCCAGTCCCAGACAACCCATGTTCAAGTACACCTGCATTCGAACCATAGGTCATCGTTCAGTGAGAAATAGCGATAATAGCCAAGCAAAGGGAGACACCTTCACGAATGCTCTGCTCTCGCCAAATCCAGATGTTGATAGATTCGTATAACATAGAAAAGAATACTTTTTATTTCTGTTTATCACTACAAAAACTAGCTTGTTTTTTTGGGCATCACTTGACTCTATTTTTCCAATGATAAGGACGAGAATTCAAGTCAGCATGTGCAAATGTGCATAAGACGGACTGACTTGTCGATATGGTTGGATAACTGTTTTCTACGATTTCCAGTGACTGAAATGCATCAAACAAAAGATAGAAGTATAGAAGTATGTTGAGTCGAAATTTTGCCTCTCAAAAATAATATTTGATACATGAGACACACTGTCCGAAGTCACCCCTCTTTGTCCGAAGTTGCCCTCACGTTTGTCCGATGTCTCCCGCAGAAAGACGTGGTTTCCGACATCTTCTTAGGGTACCTCAGATATGATTTTCTGGCGCAAGTGGTGATGTTCCGGAATTAATTGTTCCGGAATCGAGCGGTGGCGCCAAAGTCTAACAAGGGTTCAAAGCCCGCGCTCTCCCTTAAACATCGCCCATGTTATGCGTACCAACACTGTATTGCTATTATGGGGCCTACATGATTTACTTTAACCTAGCTTACACGTTGCTCATTTTGAGCTTGCAGCCCTTTAACATTTCCGTTCCGTTTTCTTTTTAAGCCGTCTGTCCGCCCCTCCCCCCTCCTTTCACATTAGTTTTTAGCAAAAATAAATCCATTACTGGCTTGCTGGACCCGTTGTAATTTCTCCTAAGTCCCGTTTGCCAGAACGTTTTGGGGTGACCCGGGTTGGCCTTCTCGACTAGCGGATCTCCTCAGTGACATATAAAGCAATAAGGCCTACCGTATATCACCCGAACCCAGCAATCCCCATTATCTACTTTGATCTATCATCTCCCAGGACATCGATTGAGGATTGGACTTTGGGAGACACCATATATTGTGTCACATAATAAAAAAAAATACCCGTATTACATTACCTGTCCTGGGCAACAACGTCATTGCACACCGGACAGGTCCAAGACCTCAGTTCCTCTCAGCATCAAAACAGGCAAGGTATCCATAGTGATTGTTCCAGTGGCTGTCTGATTATGGCGACGTCTTTCCTTTCCAGTTAATCGTTCCTTTCTTCCTTCTCCCCTCTCTATTCCCATTTCACACATCCTGATGATTGCGTGGTGTTCTGCTGTCTCCCTGTCTTCTCATCCCACTGAACTTTTCCTCCAGGGTCTTCAAAATTCTCCTTTGTCAAATTTCACCTCACCATCAACCACGGCACTGCCTGCCAGCCTGCCTATCAAGCCTCCTCATTACCCTTCACGCCAGAGTGCCCTGGACAGAATATCCACACAATGGCTCTAAGTGATGAGAGTTGTATTGGGTTCATCCATTCACTCCGAAGCAGCCCTTTCTCAACTTTTCACGGGATGCTCTGGGAGTCTGTGACAGTAATGAAATGGGTGGTCTTCGTCTTGTATTTTGAAGCCAGCCAAGCTCTTGTCACGGTCTCAATCTCCATTTTCATGCTTGAAGTTGAAGTTGTTCTTTCTATCGCCCTTGACATGCTATTAACCTGTTTGTTCCCATTGTACCCCACAAAACCCCACCCACTTCTCTCACTCCTTCTGACCGATCCATTCGTGTAGATCACTGGGGCCTCTGGTTTAGAGTGCTCCTCAATTAACTGTCGTATGTCATTGTCGAGCACATTCCCGCCTTTCACGACCCATAATGGGGCTCAGTTCAAACCATTCCTTTTCCACTGCATATTTCATCGACGCCACAAACTTTCCTCAAGGGGTCTTCAGCTTCTGCCATCCATGAGCCTTTTTTTAAACACACATTTAACGAAAAGACTTATCATACTCCGTGGTTTGTTCCAGGGGCGGCTCGTGGGTCTAAAAAGTGGGCGTGCACAATTAAGCTATCTTAGGCTGAAGATAATCAAGGGCAGAGTAAATGGGATGGTGTATAATTTTAGGATCTTTGGGCTGGTAAAGGAAGACCTTGTGCTTTTATTTTCATTATTTTTATTTGTGGCTTTGACTTCTAGAACTAAATCTGTTTTGTTAGCTAAACGCCAATTTCATTCATCCTGCATTAGAACTGAACACTCAAGTAATACCTTTCACCACTCCACTACAAAACCGTTCAAAAGCACAACTCATAGGACGGTGACTTAAGTATGTCACGTTCACCTCCCTCAGGTTCACGGGTCACAGTCTCTTAAAATAGCAACAAGACAATGAACCAATCACAGTTCACTTGAGCACTCCGCTGGATTGCTCCGTGGCCCATATAATTTTGGCATGGAATAGTGCACAGTCTATGGCGTTTATTTTTAGATTGCCTACTGTGGGCTATGTTTCGGCGCTATTCGGCAAGAGCACATTTGAGATGTGCCGTCTTATTAATATTAATGTAGATCTACCGCCAAACTCACTACAAGTGTCGTCATCGCTTGGGTTATCCCAAAGAGCGATTTATAGGTCTGGTTTCCACTGTTGACTATCCTGTTATGTTTAGATACAGCGCATGAACTTAGGCATGGCATAGTAAATGTTTTACGCCGCTATAGAATAGAAATGACAGCTACGGCGCCAGCGAGGGCCTTGTTTTGATATAATGTTTGGTTAGTGTTTGTTTCTGGCGTCTTTTATTATATTATTGTGAGTGCTTTACGTGATAGACCATTAAAACGTTTTGGGCGGCACTGCACGACCGTGCTCTATGGACGAAACGCGCCTGGTTTGTTCCATTTACCCCTCACATTTACATACATTAACAGCTTAACGTTTCTAATTTTTGGCACTGAAATAATATAGTTTTTTTTCAGATCAAATGTACACATAAGAAATACAAATGCCACATAGCAAGTTCAAATGCCACATAGAAAGTTTCACGCAACATAAAAAGTTCAAATGTTCAATAGGAAAGTGTAGTGCACAATTGTGCGTAACAAATTCAAATGTACAAATAGCAAATCCAAATGTAACACAACAGCAAGTTCAAATGCCACATAGCAAAAGCAAATATCCCCCACAAAGATTATTCAGCGTGAAAAGCATTTTAATGTGCTCAAACCGAGTTGATGACAACCAAGCGCAGTTTAATTTTAAGGTGAATTTATCGCCATTAAAAAAATCCCGAGGATGCTCCCGCGGAAAGAAATTCACAGTGGAAGCTGGTAGCAAGACGTTGACGAATAGAAACCGATGAAGAGTACGGATCGGGTGTTCAATGCTTTGTTCGAGTAATGCAGGCAAAGTTTGATGCAGGGTCGAAGGGGACCGAACCGCCGATGCCATATGGGACTTATTTGCTGTCAGTGACGAGGGTGGCCTGGTCTTTCACGACTTTCAAGTGGAGGGAATGGTAGCTTTCGTATCAACCCATCCCTCTAAGAAACTGGTTCAACAATCCCCTCAACGAAGTATGCTTTGTATGTAACAATGCTTGTGCACAAAGGCAGGCTTTAAATGGCAACTCATTAATAGATTAGGGAAGAAATATCTACCCCCCCCCCCCCCCCCCCACTTTACACACCTTTTCTTAACATCTACGAGAACGCTTGTGAATTTGGAAATATGATTTGAAACCATGGCTCGGTGAAGGAAACGACCAAATGCCCACTTAGCTGACTCATCAACAAAGGATGGTCACACTTGCCCAGATCATGGAACAAAAAACACAAGCTGTGACTATAGTGAAAATGGCAGCAGCCTTCAGATCAATGCAAACCTATAAGCTATAGCGTTTTGTAATGCAACAATAAGTAAATAAAAGTAAACTTGGCTTTAGATTTCACTCAATTAGTTCTATAATATACCAGCAGTATGTTGATTTGTATCATAACCATTCGTTTTTGTTAAACATGTAAGTTTATTTTCAGTTTTTAACATAATTTAACTATTACTTTCGTTTCACGTGATTTCTTCCTTTGGCACCACACGGCTTACGTCTAACTTTTTCCTGGCCAAAAAACCCCAAACCCTTTTACTTCTTACCTTGATATACTTTTTATACTTTTATATATTAGCCTCCTTTTTAGTTTACTTAGAGTTTTACGGCACTTGCAACGCAATAAGGTTATATAAGTGCCGAAGATTAAAGGTGTTACAAGAGAGCAACAGACACACACACAAAAAGGAGGAGAGATCAGGATGATAGATGTTAGATAGGAAAGAAGGAGCTAACCACACCAGAGCACCCGCCAACCACCCACTTAGCCTCCTTTTACTCTAGTTCAAGCATATTCATTTACATTTGGACTTGCTATGTGGCATTTGAATTTGCTATGTGTTACATTTGAGATTTCTATGTTTACATTTGAACATGTTATTGTTGTATTATGACTTTTTATGACGTAATTTGTATATTTGGAATTTCTAGATGTAATTTGGTCTTTCTATGCGGTCTTTGAATTTTTTATGTGTATAATTGAACTGAAAAAACTAAATAACCAACTTTCTGTAATATCAACGACAACTTTTACAACTCCTTGAAGTGTTCTTCAGGCTTGCACTAATGGCGTTGATGTCATACGTTCTGTTTCCGCAACGTTTGGCTCGTGGTCTAGATTATTACAAAATGTTATTGCTTCCAGGGAGAATGACAATATGCCAGTTCAGCTGTCCCAAAACCCCTCCCCTCTTTCCTTGGGCTTCTCCGACACCGATTCATTGAGACTTCCAGGGTAAAAAAAAACAAAAAAACCCAACACCCTCAAACATTAGATCACATGACGCGTCTTTCTGCAATATGGAAAGTGGGTGAAAGTGCTCTTTAGAAAAGAGATGGGTAATAATTTAATACGCTGTCGTCGTTTGTGGTAAACAAACAATACATCGACCGAATTCTTCAGTCATGTTAGGCCTACATGTAATGTGTGCATTCATAAATGAAGTTGGTAGATCTCGGTATAGATCTAGACTCTAGAAACATTTTGTATGTTTTAGAATTCATGTGCACAAGACGGACTTCATAAATATCATCCTAAACTTCAAACACATACTCGCGCAAAATCTTAAATTCATGTTATCAGTTGTAAACTATTTACATAATATTCCTAATCCGCTTCAACAAACATAGATCTGTATGATATAACAGGTGCGCCCCTTTTTAGCATTTTAGCATTTTAGCATTTCCCGTCTTTGAAACACCGGCTTCACGAGCAAAAGGTGAGAGGGTTTGTTGTAACTGGCCTTGGCCACTGTTTTCGCTCAGCCCTGTACGAGTTCAGAGTTTATGCAACAACACTATACTATTATGGCGAAGACGTCAATGTAGACCTCATCACGGTGTTGCTGACCGACTTTCTTTTCAATGAATGGGATATTGTTTGCAAGGACTTCAACAATCGTGATCATATTTATTATTTGCACGGAGATTGGACTGAGTGACATCTAGGCCAGGCCTAGGCCTAGAGCAGCTAGAAAACCAAGAGTAAAGAGTGTGTATGGAAGCCAAAGAGTATTATTTTGTCTTCTCTAGTCTCTAGTCTATTCTGAATTCACCGAGAGTTAGGCCTCTCTATTTGATTTTAAAAAGTTGAAGAATCTGTTGAATCATTTAGTTTAGCCTAACATTTAAGTTTGAGTTAGTTTGATGTTAGATTTAGCCTAGACTCTAGTCTAGTAGATCTAGAAAATCTAGATACGAAGTGGCTAGCCGTACTTAATAAGTACTTAGTACTTAAAGACTGAGAGTCTAGCCGTACTTAAGTACGGCTAGACTGCCAGTCTAGCCGTACTTAGATCTAGGTTTGGCCCTATCGACTCAAGCCTGTTAAGTACACAGGTCTCAGATCTAGATCTAGTAATTATTCAGGTTCAAGAAAGTGGCTATTCTCACCCGCCCGGAAGTTCTCGCAAGATCAACTCCTCCCCTCTTCTCTCTCTCTCTGTCTCTTTCTGAATACTGTCTATCGGTGTGGACGATCAAATTGACCAAAACAAAGTTTAAAAATGATGTTAAAACACAAAAGTAAATTAATTTGGTTGTCTACAAAGATGCTAGGGCTATATTTAACTTTTCGAATCGAGCCGAACTACGCGGGTCGCCATTTTGTTTTGCCTGGAAATTCTCGCGCTACTCCTCTCTCTCTTTCTCTCTCTCTCTCCACTGCCCACAGACAAAATTGTACGCTTTTAATAGGCTACAATTGTAATGGAACGTTTGTTCACGGCACAGAATTCTACAATTTTTCTGTTATAGTGTAGAATTCTGTGGTTTAGGGTGAACGCAAAATTTGGTGAACGCGCACCAGGTGAGAATAGCCACAAGACTCGCCTGCACTATTCTCACTCCGGGTGAGAATAGAGGTGGCCCAGGTTCAAATACATGCAAGTCAGTAAGGCACCTTTTGGTTTTGTCTGAAATACAAAAATACTTTAGGCATTGCAAACTAAAAATTTCATTTACAATTCAGCAATCAATAATAAGTACGGCTAGACTGCCAGTCAAGCCGTCCTTAAGTACGGCTAGCCTGGCTGTCTACCCGTACTTAAGTACGGCAAGACAAGAAGTCTAGCCGTACTTAAAAGTACGGCAAGACTGCCAGTCTAGCCGTACTTATCTTAGGCCCTATTAACATTAGAAAACAGGAGGTTTAAAATACATATGCACTGTCATTAAGGCACCTGGTTTAGTCTCAAATACAAATACTTTAGGTACTGCACACTAAAAATGTACACTAAAAAAGATCTACGTCAAGACTAGCTTATTATTGTAATAATAATGATCAGTTGCCGAAGGGAAAAAAAGACTGTGACGCGTTTGTACATTATATTATGCGACGTTCAACGCCCGGACCGCTAGTGCCTCCCCCCCTCCCCGACACACACACACAGTTGACACAGCCACACGTGTGCAAGCCGCCCATCCGACCCCGACACACTCCAGAGTAGACACGTGCGCATGCCAACAACACAAGTGTTGGTATTTTAAAAGGCCGCTGATTGGTCGCATGCAATCGGCTAAGTAAATACTGGTTCACGATGCAGGTGCAATGAATGGTTTCCAGGAATAGATCAAGTTCGTTCTTGGAGAACAATTAGCGAAGCCACGTCTGCAGGGGCTGTTCACCCTGGAAGCGACCTCGTTGAAGCCGAGTTCGCTAATTTAAATGCTCGTTGAATCCGGGTTACTTTTATTGATTTTAAAGAAGAAAAAAAACGGGGAATCTATCTCATCTCGTTGAATCCGAGCTCGTTAAATCCGAGTTCCACTGTAATAAGGCCGGCTCTATTTCTCCGAACATACGGGAAAATAAACTTGAACTTTATTTCTCCGAACGGTTTCCGTTCTCGAGATTTGTTTATAATAAGCGAATGGAGTGGCCCGTTGTAACGCTGATGTTGTTGTTGTTGTTTTCAAATCCCTTTGGCTGCTCTTATTGGCCCACATGGGCAAATAAGTTGGGGTTTATTGGCCAACTTGGTCCATTTAATGCTTTTTTTTTCAATATATGTATTTCATACATGGTGTTGTCCCAACTTGTTCTCTTCTTTTATTTTTTTCAAGATTACTTTATGATCCCTTCTTGTATGTTTTCCTGAGACATCATTCCATCTCGCATCCATTTCTACAGATTTGATTGTTTGTTGGCGTGTTCCTGCAGTTCAGTGTTATTATAAATGCAGTAGACTATGATCGTCTTCGAACAGTATTTCAAATTTGATTATTTAGGTTCTCCGGATGTGAGCTTGCTTCTTTCGTCAAACAATATATTACGGTATAATTGAGTTATTTCTTTGTTTACTCTTCGTATACTGTGTTGGATTATAACTTAAGATGAAGATGTGTAACTTCTTAGAGTTACTCTATTGTTCATCTTTTTATTTTTAACATTAGATTGAAAAACTACATTCTCAATTTATAAAACAGATCTATAGATGTGATTGATGGACTAAATAAAAGAAAAAGGGAATAGAATGGGCTAGGCTAACAAAAAGGCAGGACAAGCGGAAAGTGCGCGCATGTAAAACAGGGGAGATCACTCACAATTTTATTGTCAAATCGGCCGGATTTGGGGGGGGGGAAGGGCACTCATACAGTGCGTGTTGCAGGTCGTCAGGACTTATGCCACACGCCAGACAGGAATCATTGGGAACGGAGCCTATTGCATGGAGATACGTCTGCAGGATGGGGCTCTTCGCGTTGCATCTTAGCTGCGATAACACTCTTCTCTGTCTGACGGTAAAGGTCTTTCTCTTTGTCCCTCTCCGGTGGTGGCTTCACCTATCCCCTGACGGAGTCGTGCACTCACGCTTTCTCCCATGCGTGGGCAAAGATGTAACGCGAGATGCACGAGCTTGCTGACAACGCGATATCGACTGGAGTGTTGGACTGGTCGAGGCGGCCTCCCTTGTTGGCCAGGGCGTCAGCTCGGTCGTTCCCGTAGATGTCGCAATGTCCTGGTATCCATTGTATGTGAAGGTTTCCGTGGATTTCACAGCATTGGCAGATAGTGGTCCACATTTTGTCCTCTATCTCAGTACGAACTGCAGTCACTCCGGACATTAAGTGTTGAACAACTGACTGGGAGTCTGTGAAGATGTGGATTCTTTGAAAACGTGGTTGTTTGGAGCAGGGCGGTAGTTTCAGCTCGGTAGCTGCTTCCGTATAGTCCCGCGGGCACGGATACGCAAGTTTTCTTCCCAGAAGATTTGTGTAAACACCAGTATCCTCCTCCACACAACCTGTAGCCGTCAGTGGCATGGCCGTCACTGAAGATATCGAGGTCGGATGTAGGAAATCGGCGCACAGTCTCGAGAGCTGCTTCACGTCGCATATTAGATGGATCTGTTTTTGTCGCAGACACTGCAAGTTTTGAGTTGATTGTGAGGTTGCAGGGGGTCTTCCACGGGGGAGTTGTACTCACTGGCCGCAGGGGTTCTCGGATTAGATGTTCTAGTCCTGCGTTTTTATTAGAGCTCTGTCGGCCCACTTCCCTCCAACTGTTGATGGACTGTAAGCGTATTTTTGATGTTCCTTCAGCTGAGGCACGGATCGGGTTGTCTTCTGGGACTCTTCTTGCTCTCTCGTATGCCACAGCATACACAATCTTGTGCCACGATAGCCACTTTGCGCCCTCAATCTGGCGAGAAAACCGACCCAACCCGATCCCCCAATGTTTTAAAGTGTGTGCAATCTGCAGCTTGCACCATATGTTTTCTGGGATTATAAATTGTAAAGCGCAGAGCATGCTGTAACATAGCTTTGGCACTTTAAAAAACTGCAATTATTATATAATTATAATCCATTATAATAACCTTGTCACACTATTGTTTGAATGAGAATCTTCTTATTTGCTTAGCATGTCATCAGAATCAGCACTACTTTCTTTCAATGGCTTCTCCTTCACCACCTGTGTTTTTACACACCTCTCAACTAGGAATCGCTTTGTCATTCGGGACATCATTCATTGGGATAAATTGTCGCAGCTGGCTTTATAAATAGAGGGGTCGCTTCAAACAGGTAACTGGTAACTCCATGTTAGGCTCTTCCCTGTCGCACACAGGAGACCCGAATGCAATTCCTGGTGAGGGGGTAAAATCAAGTGCCATTTGTATGTCGATCTTTCTGCTGGAAGGATGTGACTTTCTCCACTCAGGCTGGCCCTAAAAGGCGGGGTTGGAAGTTCGCCTCTTGAATGATCTAAATTGTGTCTGTGTAAGTGCAAAAACACCTACTTAACTCATTCGCTACGCCGAGCCGTGGGGGGCGGCGCGGCTAAAGTGCCGTCAGTACACTAAGCCGCCCTAGGCGGCTCGGGAACCTTCCTTCAATTTTAGCTTAGATTCTATTCCAATCCACATATCCATGTTAAAATAAAGGTCATAATATAATGTTGACTTCCGGGTCAAACATTTCCACTGAAAATCGGAAGTTTAGATTCAGTTTTGAAACGCAATTTCGTAGTTTATTCGACTTTGTTTTATCGCAATGCCAAAATTATAGCCCAGACACCAGTCTTAGTAATTTTACACAACAAAATCTATTATTATTTTGCCCTCTAAAGAAGTGTGGGACTCTTTTTTATAATATTGATACGATTGGACTCATATTGCCAATGCACTGTTATTGAGAAATCAATATTTTTGAGTGCCAGATTTAGGATCTTGATCTAAATTGTCAAAATATTTTTTTCTCCCCAAAATCACTACTTTTTAATGAAATTACACAAAAAGTGCCACTCAAGACCTGTACAGGTTTATTCCAAATGCAATTCGGAATAATTCCATATAAGATACGAGTGGGTTTTTTTCTGTTTGTGATCGTTTTTCAAGATTATAAATTTTTAAAATTCTTTCAGTATATTCGGATGTTATGATCCAAATGTACAATTATGGAATGTATGTAAATAACTGCAAACTTCTCAATATTTTCCAGTTCTATATTCATTATGGTTATTTTGATGTATCATTTGACTAGGTGCCAGCATATTTTTTGAGTTTCACCAAAGATTATAAAGTTTTTATTTTCAAATTTTATCCGCATCCAATCAAAATTGTGTTGCATAATCGCCTCTTACAAGAACCAAAGTTGAAAAATACATAAATAAACATTACAGATATATTCTACAATCCATACTTGAAATATTGGTATATAATATGTTGATATTTATTTGAATTTGTGGCCCCAAAGACCTTTTAACTGCTCACTAGTCATCATCTCATTCGCCCTCCCGAAAAAAAATTCGTCCACAAGCCGAAAATGATACGTAGCGAATGAGTTAAAGAAACCCCCACCCCTCTTTTTCTACATCATGATTGGCCTTCGCGGTGGTTATAATCTCTTCAATGTAAATCTTTTATTTTGAATGCAAATGCAGAGTTTGGTTTTCTTAAATTGTCATGTGATTGTGTCAGTAATGTTTTTCTTTTCTGGTCAATAAAATATTGTTTTTTGTTGCTTTTTTATCTTTCAATACAGAACATAGAATGCCAGAGAAGCCTGTGACGTTCCGGCAGACATTGCAAATGAGGAAAGATTTTGTTGGGTACGTTGCATTTCCATTTTTTGAAATACTCTAATTTTTTAATCTGTAGGTTTCTCACTTTGCCCGATTCGTCAAAGTATAAACACTGGACACTTAAACAAATATATTTTGAAATGGAAAAAAAAAGTTCATCCCAAAAATGTTTGTTCTTAGATATTCAAAATCAATGTTTTTTAAAGCTTGAAATTAAAGCCATTTCCTTTTTCTTCGTCTGTGAATCTCCCAATTCTGTTTCTTTTTTTTTCAGTAAATCCTGCAAGCTTCATTTTGAAGTTGCTCCACTAAAGATACTGAGAGCATCAAGGCAGTACTTGTATGATGATACTGGGCAGGAGTTCTTGGACTGTGTTAACAACACTTCTCATGGTGAGCATCAGCAAGGGCTAAGGGTAAAATGATCATATCTTTGCATTTGGGACTTGATGAAGATATTTTTAGAGATTACCTTTGTGATTTAAAAAAATGCAAAAATCACTTATTTAAATTTTAACTTTTTCACTACCGTGGACCAGGCCCTATCTGTGACATCAATATGAAAATAGATTCAGTAATTACGAAAGTAGGTGTGGTTTTGAAACAGGTAAGTGACAAGCCGTGAAACATGGCTGGCGGTCCAGCGTTGGAGGTAACATGAGCTGTAAAACACAGTTGGCGGTAGTGAAAGAGTTAAAACAGAGGACCAAATAATTTAATATTTAAAATGGAAAATTAAATTCTTTTGTGGTTTTTCAATTTAGTATATTTTTATCAAATTTTATTTATGCCAATAGTTTTTTCTTGATAATTTCTAGCTGGCACTCCTTATTGCCTTATTTCCATTTTGATGTTTACCTCTTTAACACTTACAGTACCGTCTGCAACTTAAATCGCCAGCGCCGGCATAACCAAGCACACTAAACATAATTAAACAACGAATGGATGCACTGCACCGAAGGAAATACCAAAGGAAGTCACTCTATATGATATTTGAATGGTTGATAAACCTCTATGAATTTTTAAAGCATGTTTCTTGGGCTGCCAAAGTTTTTTTTAATTAAAAAAAATTCCACCACGTCTTCAGCGCTCTAAACCGGTGCGGTACTTGGGGGCTTTTCACTATATGATAATATGAGCCTTCGGTACTGTAAATGTTAATGTGTACTGTTCAAGCTTTACTTTTTTTCTTCCTGTAAATGATCTCACTGCTGGTACACCAAATTTCCATTTTTAATATTTGCCACTTGTATGATGATATTGACGCTCTAATTAGTAGATAAGTCTCTTACAAGTCTTCACCACCACCACCCATGGTAGAATTAAATGTGAGCTGTGCCCCAAAGATGTTTTAGATCGTCCTTTAACTGACTTGCAGAACTTTCATTGTTTCATAAGGTAGACAATTTGATGGAGATGCAATTTTGTTGAAGAAAAAAGATTGACTCTGAAATCATATTTTCAAACTTGAATTCTTGTTATTTTTGTGTAGGCACTTTGTCGTCAAACCCTAGACACAAGATGAAATAATGCTTCCCAGATATTCATAGAATGACCACATTGCCAGGTCTCATCTCATTATCTTTGTGAAGATTACTAAGGTGTACTTACTCAAGTAGTCTGTTCACAGTGGGCCATTGCCATCCTCATGTGGTGGGTGTAGGCCAAGAACAGATGTCCAAACTCGCCTCAAGCTATGGTTTTCTCAATGAACAAACAGCTCTATATGCCAAGCGACTAGTCAGTACGCTGCCTGAGTCTCTGTGCGTCTGTTTTTTTGTCTCTTCGGGGTAAGTGTCTTATGGAAGCTTTTGCTGCATTTCAATAATTGATTAAAAAGGTGTTCCTTATTATAATTTAAACAATCTTCTTTCTTTTTTTCTGTATGGTGGTCATCCTTTTAATTGTCCAGGGGTGCTTGGTTTGAACTAATGAAATGTTCTTTTGAAATAATGTTACCTGGGGTAGAAAGGGGGAAGGAGGGGGGGGGGGACTTGTAATTCCAATCAAACAAAATCAATGCTGTGTTGCAAAAGATTTCAACACTCATTTTGGATATTGCCTAGTAAATGCTATAAATCTTGCTTTTGTAGCCTTGCACTCACAGGTGTAACAGGCACTAAAATATACATGTACACATATTCTTGAGATCTTATGAGAACTGACTTAATTATTTGCATGCTTAAATATAATGTCTTGATATTTGTCAGGTCGGAGGGTAATGACCTAGCGCTAAGATTGGCAGCTTCCTACACAAAAAGACCAGATGTCATCTGCCTTGATGGGTAAATAATACCTTTCCTTTTTGACGATTCACATTGTTTGTGCATTGACTTGCTTGTTTTTAACATTTTGAACTAATTGCAAATAAAATATCATGAACATATTTTTGTATAACTTCTTTACAGGCGAGTGGAATTAATGATATAACCAGCTGATCACCTCTGTACTTTTATTATGGTTCATCTTTATTCTTAAAATCATGTTGGTAATGGTGCATTAGCATCTGTGTCTTGGCTCATTTCTTTGGTATGCCATGATCTTGCTATGCTTCTGAGGTAATAAGGGCATTGGGATTCGAAAAGATGATGTAACAGCCCATGTGAAGGTCTATGTTCAATTCTACAATTCGCTTCCTCAAAATTACAAAGTTAGAACTATCTGCTAAGTTCCCAGTTTTGAGAAATTTGACATCAAAGATTTTGAGCTTCACATCATGTCAAGCTTTTTTTAATGCGATTCTTTGAATATCCCGTAACCATGCTGAATAATCTTACGATTTTGATAGAGCAGATAGAACTGATTCTTCTGATTAATAACTCAAGAGAGCCAAAAGTGTCAGACAGAACTTTGTAATGCTGAGGAAGGGAGTATTAAGGTTACATTGGTGTACTTTTCCCCCTGCTTTAGTCTTGTTTCTTACCTCTTTGTTCTTATGTTCTTATTTACTTATAATTCCTTTAGCATTTAGCATGTTGTTTGTTTCGTACAGAAACAAATAAAACTGTTGTAGGTTTGTGATTTCTTTGTCATAATTCTGTGGCAGAGCATATCATGGCAACCTCGGCTCTCTGGTGGAGATCAGCCCTGTGCGGTACAAAAAACTGGGTCAAGGACACCAGAAAAAAGACTGGGTGCATATTGTAAGTACTTGCCTGACCATTTGCAATAGTATTCTTTTAATATTTTTTTTCTTTATTAATTTTGTCGGATGACTGATGGGAATGGCTGTCTTTTGGTAGTTAAAATGAGATAGTTCTTGATGTCTGAGGAGAGCATGAGTTTAAAAAAGCAGTTAAAGATTAAGGAAGTAGATATAGTGCATCTGAGCAGCTAGTGCAAAATCTGACCTTTTTTCTCTTTTCGAACTGGGATAGATATCTTTTTTTTTTTTAATGTGTGCTTTTTCTCTAAACATTCGGCAATTGCTTATACATTAGTATATAACTGCACAACCATGAGTTATTTATGTTTTCTTTTCTTAAATGATGTTTCTATCTTTTGAGACCAATTTTCTTCCCCAGGCTCCAACACCAAATGTATTTAGAGGAAAATTCGGCTCAAATGCTGCAAATCCAGGTGTGCTATATGCTAATGAGGTCAGAAAAGTCATTCAGAAAGCTGAGCAGCAGGGTCGAGATGTAAGTTTAAATAAATGTGAACAATAGATTATCTTGTCATGTTTCTGTTTACATGTGTCTGCTGTATGTGATAACCATTTTTCTTTTTGTACATAAAAATTTTCTTACATTTGACTTACTTACATACTTAATTTTTCTGGTTTCTTCATGTACAATGTCGAGGGGAAATGCTAAAGTCTTTCTCTAGTTTGTCGTATCGCATATTGTATGTGTATAATAATATTGTAATGTTTTTGTCTAATGTGTTTCTGCCCCCCTCTATCCATCTTTTCTTGGACCTGCCTGTTCCCCTGCATCCATCTGATCTCTGGCTGTGTGGCCTTCCTGCTATACTGTCTGGTGGTTTTCTCGACTGTTGTCGATATTATTCTATATGTGTTGTTTATTAATGTGCACCAAACGGGGAGTCGAGCCAACTTGTTCTCTGACTATCTTGTTTCTCACCCTGTTTTTTCTTGTGATGTTCCAAGATTTTCGTAGGCATTTCATTTCACAAGTGTTTGTTTACTTAGTGACTACATGTTTTTGGTCAATGTTTGGGCGTGGTAGAAGTGTTAGTATAAGGGTGCTGTTAATGAGTTGGGTGCTTTGTTTCCATTGTGATGTAGGGATGTGAAAGTATTGCTGCCAGTTTGTAAGTCAAAATATTGGTCATTTTTATACTGTTAAAATTTTTTTTTTCTGTTTATCTTTCTGTCTTTTGTGGTATTTTCTCAAAATATGCTAAAGGTTCTCAAGATTTTTCTTGCTGGCTATTTTGTAATTTTGATTGTTGAGTATTTGAGTTAGTTTAACAACAGCTGTCATTTTTTGCTGTAATTAATAACTGCAGTACTTCCAATCTTCCGTATTTTTATGGAAATCCGTACTTTCTGACAGTTCCGTACTTGCTTTCCCATCATTATCAACTCCATCCGTAATTAAGTGCAGTGGCCTAGAGCTACCGAAATTCCGTGGCAAAGGATCCGTACTCGCCTTCGTATCGTCTTGCATAAGTTACGAGTATTTACAGTAATTCTCTTGGCAATAAGTTAATGTTATAGAAACCTGCCAGATTGTGCATTTCCTGCAATCAGCCATTATCCCACTGTGCATTCATCGCAGGTTAGTTAAAATCTGGTTAGCCATGATAGCAAACTTTTTTATGCCAGTTTCCTCCTTTCATTCATTTATTCATTCTTTCTTTGGATTGTTTCCGCAGCTAGAAAATCTACAAGTCAATCAAGTAAACTGACTTGTAATTTTAGGCAGAAAATCACAATTAGAAGGAATTTTTTTATCTTAATTTATCTAGATCTAGAGAAATTGTCAGTGCGATGATTCTATGGGAGTGAGATAAGGGCCACTAAAACTACTAAAATCAAGAATGATTCTAAGTGGTGTTCCTAGGTTGTGGCATTCAGCATCCAAACTTGAAAATGGAGAAACATTAGGGTATACTTTGGGTCACTCTATACTCTTATCGTTAAAGTAAGTGTCTATTCATTATTCCCGGGTTTGCCTTCTGTCAGTGGGGAGATGACAAAGTAATTGAATTATATAAATTATAGTTTCATAGCAATGGCAAGGGGAACCTGCTTTTTAACATTGCCAGCAATGGAAAGATTTGTAGATTGATGAATCAAACAAGATAAAATCTTGGTGAAAAAATAGGTGTTAATGTTCATTGGCAATCTCTGCAAACAGGGTTCCAAAGGCCATTTTTGACCCTCTAAAGCACTAAATTTTAATTTTTTCGGGATCTTCACCCCATGAACCCCCACAGGGACGCTGTCCCTTGGCACTGCCAGGGGCCACATAGGCCCCCAGACCCGCGGCAAAAGTTTCCTTACTTTTCAGCTCCGGCTGTTGGAAGCACTAACTGCTTCTGTATTGTTTTCATACCTTTATGTCATGCTGGCCTAGTTATGCTAATGTGAAAGATTTTTAATAAGCCTTGGAATACACCACTTAATGAAAGGGGGATTTACTAAGTCTTGTAAACAGTCAAAATAAGATACTGAGACTTTTTGTTTTAGATGAGAAAATGGTGTTGTGTTTGCATATGGTTGTTAAAAGATTTTTTTTTTTTTTTTTTCCAGATTGGTGCATTTATTTCTGAGCCAGTGATATCTGCTAGTGGAATGGTTGTCCCTCCAGAAAATTACTTTCAAAACGTATACAGGTACGTCATGCTACTGTATTTCAAATGTTACAAATTCTGGTGAAGTCGTTTGAAAATATCCTGTTGGTTCAAATATTAGACATTTTTTAGAAGAATTGTTGGATCATTTTCTAGCAATGCCAGAAATGTTGGTATACTTCAGAGGAATCTGCTCCCACCTTTTCATCACAGTTCACCAAGCTGTTAATGGATTCTCAACAATAGATGAAAATGAAATGTATCGCCTGGATAGGAGTGCAAAACAAATATGAGGAGAAATGTACACATGCACCCACATACACTCTCTCTTTGTTTCTTTGCTCCCTATTTCTCCCTCTCCTTCTCCCTTTCCCTTTTACTCTTCTTCTCTCCCTCTCCTTCTCCCTTTTCCTCCTGTCTCCTTCTCTCTTCCTCTCTTTCTCTTCTTCTCTTTCTTTCCCTCTCTTGTATATTGATGAACCTTTTTTCTCAAACCCAGACTTGGGGGCTCTCGTGGCTTAGAGGTTAAGGTGTAGGTCTATCATTCAAAGGTCCTGGGTTTGAATCCGGGTAGCGACCTAAAAATTTTCTTCTCTATAATTGTCTCCTTTCACCTCCTTTCCTGCTCTCTAGCAATGTTCTATCGTCTGCTTTCGTATCCTCTTTCTGCCCCCACCCCCTCACGTCCTTGGCCCCCTCCTCTGGGCTCATGATTCTTTCTGCCGCCTTTCTACTACTACTCCTTGGCTCCTTCTTACGGCTGTCTTTCAGCCTCACCCGATCTTCTGGTAGGAAAGATCTACACCTAGCCTACCGGACAAGGATGAAAAATCTCGGAGGGCCCGTGTGCAAGTTGTGCACGTTAAAGATCCGTTTGTGGTCTAAAATTGATAAAGGTAGGCCACACGAGCAAAATTCGAAATTTCCTACCAGCGGAAATTCCCGTACGCTCGTATGACCTTACGCAGTTGCGAGCGCCGTAAAACACTTATCGAAAAAGAACAAAAAACCCCAAACCCAAACTTTAAAAAAAAAGGGTATATGTTCATTGTATTTCATTGTCTTCAGGTATGTAAGGGAATGTGGAGGGATCTGTATATCTGATGAAGTCCAGTGTGGTCTAGGACGAATTGGAGAGCATTTCTGGGGATTTCAAATGCACAGTAAGTACCCACCATGTTGTAAATTGTCTTTAAAAGTAGAATTATAGTCATGTGTCTCAGTTCTAAAATTCAAGATGATTTTATTGTACAGTCAAAAATTCGTGGTTCATCTTATCCTCAAATATCTTTATAACGGGTGAATCAATGTCACCCAAACTTTACATAGCAGTTTGTCTCAATTTGTCTTAACTTAATCATATTTTTCTACAACAATTGAGGCTAGATTTAAATGACTTCTCTTAATAAATTTATATAAAATACTACAAACCTCCTTCACGTGGAAAATAGAATTGTACACAGCACTTCCTGCTTCTCCTACACATTTTGTATATGCAGATGGGTTATGTCACAGCTCACCAATGACACTTTTTAGTGGCAAAAACGACTCTAGTTACAAGAAATTATTATAGTGAACACTTTTTTGCACTAAAAGTTCTCAGAACATGCGTTCAATAAAGATAATCTCGTGATCAGAAAAAAATGACGGACTTGCTTTTAAAGCGGTATCGTCCTGCTGTAAACCTTTTAAAATCAGTAGAAACCACCCTCAAGGATTTTTTATAAGTTTTTATTAAGGAATTTTCTCTTTCGTTCCAGATGTGGTACCAGACATTGTGACTATAGGAAAGCCTATTGGAAATGGTTATCCTCTCGCTGCTGTCATCACCACAAAAGAAATTGCAGACAGTCTTGGAGACTTTTCCAGCACGGTATGGAGTACAATGTGCTTTTTTCATTTCAATGAAGTTTGTATATGTGAGGCGAGCTGATAAAATGGGTTACTTCTCGACATCCACAAATGGAGACATTGGCCAAAAATTTACACAAGGGTCAAATTTGTAGATTTTCTATCGATGCCATATTCTTTAAGTATTACATACCTTTTATTTCAAGCTTATAAATTTTAAAAACTTCACCTATACTATAAGTGTGATGTATGTATTCATTTAGGGCCTGAATCCGAGAAGTAACTCATTTTGTCAGCACGAGTCACATATGTGTGTTAATGTCTCTGTGACTTTTTTTTCTAATAAAAGTTATAGTTCTTTTTTTTTTCTTCTCTGTTTCTATTATGTATCGACGGAGAAAAAATATCTTTGTCCTCATATTTTATAAAATATTCTTTATAAAATGTTATTGTTTACTGTAGGTTGGCTTTGATCAAAGGCGTCATGTAGTTGAGAAGTGACAGTGTCAATTTTGTCTCTGGTAATGCCATAGCTATATTTTACTGATCATCATATTCTAAACTTTCCTTATGCCTTTGCTATTAGTGTCAGAAATGCCCACCTATCTAGACCAAGTTATAAAGGTGGGTTGCACCCCCCGGGGCGGTGCTGCTGACTGAAGTGTCCTAAGGCCATTCCCAAAGGGGGGGACATTAATGTCTCGAGTTCTTATGCACAGTAGAATTGTAATTGTAAATGGGCTGATTCATCAATGTCTTCCTCATAATTTTGCCTGAACTGCAACAGGGAACTGCTGCTTTTTCTTTCCTAATCCTTACTATCGTCATTTTTCCTCTACTTCTTTTGTATGTTTGTCACACTCTTGTGACCCGCTATTTCCGGGTGCCTTGGTAGTCGAAGCAGACTTTGTGCCGTTGAAGCTAGAGAGGTGAGCAGAGTAAGTCTGATTCCCTGTAAGGACTTCTCTGTTGAGATCCACCCCTTGGCGCTCATATGACTTTATGTAGTTGCGAGCGCAGTAAAACCCTCTACTAAAATAAACAAAAGTGGGTTGCACAAATGATGGCGATGTTGGGGGAGTTGGAATTTTTAAAGCCATTTTGACCCACCTTCATGTTATTGGCTATCTGTAGTTGTTACATAACAACAATGAAAAAATATAGTTACTGCTTGAAGGGGGGATCTCCAAGGACTTGTCAGAGGTTGGGTGGAAAAATCAGCCCTGTTTGACTCATCTTTGGACAATTATGGAAAAACAACCATTTGGTTTTTGAACTACGTTAAGCTAAAGACGTGTTTGCTTTCAGTTTAGAAAGTTTTATTTTTTCGAAGTATTTGCTTATCTTTTAAAAAACTGGACATTTCCGTAACCTGTCCCACAAGACTCATTGCTTTTAGTTATATTTTTTTTCTGCATTTTGCTTCTAGTTTGGAGGTAACCCTGTTGCATGTGCCATTGGCCGGGCAGTGTTGGATGTCATAGAGAATGAGAAACTCACTTCCAGTGCCAAGAATGTGGGCAAGTGTTTGAAGGATGGTTTCAAGGCCATACAGCCCAAACATCCCATGATCGGGGATGTCAGGTGAGCTATGGAAGATGTAGGTGTTATTCAGAACAAGTGAGACATTTGAGGTTTGAAATGGAAAGAAGAGACTACAGAGAAAAAGGAGACTACATATTGAATCATCAAAGGAACACTTGCTTTCAAATTACGTGTGTAGGAATGAAAGCAAATGTGATCCAATGTGTCGTAATGTCTAACGTATGGGGATTTTTCATTATTTAGTTCTTTCTTTTTTTACTTTGTCGATATAATCCAAAGGGACTTTACCTCTCTGTCTGTATTTCTTTCAGTTGTTCAAATTTTTATGAGTGACTGTCTTTATCAGGATATTGGGAATACTGAGTATGGTTTGTTTCAATTCAGTTCATAAAAAGAAAAGGATATGATTGGTTTGGTTTGTTTGCCTATGGCAGCAGGTGCAAACTGTAAAATGTTACCTGTAAATGCTCATGATTTTGTCTCTCTGTTTTGGTTGTGAATTTGCTTGTTTTGAAGGAACATTAATAACATGCATAAATGAAAAGAAATGTTTTACTTATTGTATTATCTACAATCCTTTGAATGTGTCATGTCTTAATTCTTTTTTTTGGATTATCATCTATCAGGGTGTTTGAGGATACTGTGTGAGGATTGTATTTTCATCTTATCCATCTGTTTTTGTTTGTTGAGATGTTTCTTCATAGCACTAAATCATCCTTCTTGTGTTGATATTCTCTTCTATGATTCAGACAAATAAAACACAATTTTCCCTTCCCTCAGGGGTGTTGGAATGATGATTGGAATTGAGCTGGTCATGGACAAAGAGAGCAAGAAACCAGCAAAGGAAACAGCAGAGATTTTGGCCTATAAGTGAGTATTTTTTTCAAGATGTGAGGATGCTAGTTTTTTTCTTCTTCTTTTTTTTTTAAAGACAAAGATAAGTTTTTATAATAAGTTTGAGAGAAGATTATAGGGTGCTTTTGTGAAAATTGAATTGGGAAAGTGGTATTTGTTACACCAAATTTTGCTTATTTTTTTTAACTAGTTTTTTTGTTTTGTTTTGTCAGTGAATTGAAGCCAAGACTTTCATCAAAATGAAAAAAAAATAAAACAACTGATTTCTCAGCAACAAGGAAGAGTTCTAGTCCATTGTTTGTCTTGGTAGAAAGTCTTTTTGTGTTGACTGGCTGGCAGTCGAATACTGTATTGGATAAACTACTTTTAAATAGATTTCACGGAGTCAAAATGAAGGAATGGGTCATGTGATACAATAAAAGCCCTGAGGAAAATACAGATTTACAGGGTTGGGTCCACCTGTGGATACATCGTGATTTAATTCTACCCCATGTCTTAAAATACAAAAATACTATGTGGATGGTTGGCGGGTGCTCATATGTGATTTGCTTCTTATTTCTTATCTAACATCTATTGTCTTTATCTCCCCTCCTTTAAAAAAAAAAGTCAATTGCTCTTTTGTAACTCCTTTAATCTTCGGCACTTACTACATGACCTAATTATGTGGTAAATGCAGTAAAACTTTTTACTAAAACTAAAAACGGATACTGGTTCCACCTCTCACCCAAAACCCTCACCCCTGTAAAATGCAAATAATTAACCTTTCGTGTCTACGTCACCCTTCTTTGATATTCATTCAGGTTGAAAGAAAAAAAGATTATCATTGGCATTGAAGGAGGAGATAAGAATGTGTTAGTGATGCTGCCTCCACTGTGTTTTACCACCGACAACGCTAGACATGTGGTTCAAGCCTTCTCCGAGGCCCTGGCCAATATTGAGTCTGAGGCTGCAAGGTGAGTCTCTTTGCCCTCCTCTTATAAGTTTGAAGTTGAGTTCATGCAAAGAAATTTTACAGTATACTTCAATTTGTTAACTTTCCTAAAAAACGTGTACTTCCTTATCACAGTTCTTTTTTGCTTGCGTGTGTGGTGTAACCGTTTGGTGCTTCACGGACACACGTAGAAAGCGCATTGTTGACTTAGTGTTTGGGGAGGTTCTTTAATCGAGTATTTCCATCTGCTGTTTGGACATTTTATCCCTCTTGGCTCAGGTTACCTCTGACAGGCAGGAAGGAAGTAGCCAGCCTCCTAAATAATCTAAATTGAGTTGATGATGGCTTGAGGCATCTACCATTAGAATTACATTACAGTTCTCTTTTACTATTTCACACTTTCTACCTCTGTCCAGGGTTGGACTGACTAACAGAGAGGAGATTGTGTCTGATCGGCCCATGGATGTGCCCCTGGATGTGATCACAGACCAGACCACCATCAATGTTCACAATTACTCTGATGATGAGGATGATGCTGAGGACGATGACCCCGTGGCAAAAAGAGCGAGATATGAGGAAGTGGACTGAGGAGTGGGGCGGATGTTTGTGATCTCGCTCGTTCCCTTTTCTGTATCATGCTGTGAACCTTTGTTGAAATGGATATTTATGGGGGGCAGTGTGTTCATGTAAGACAGTAGTCTCTAGTCTCTGATGGCTCAGATCAGTTTTATTTCATTTGTGAAACCTTTACAAAATGAAGGTATGATGGTAATCTAATGTAGGAGTAGAAACGAAGTTTTCAGTTTAATGCAAAATTGATGCTTGTTGTTTTGCTGACTGAAGTAGACACTCTGTACCCGTCCTTGATTACTTTTCTCTTTATTAAGATTTTTTTCCCTGTTTATCAGATATTTGGTTCGTAGGAGGTGCGATGCACTGTAATCTCAGAATGCAAAGCTTTTCTTCACTCCCATATGGCATTACACTGTAGACTTGTGCTTAACATATGCCTAGGGGGCTCTCGTGGCCTAGAGGTTAAGGTGTTGGCCTCTCATTCAAAAGGTCCCGGTTTCGAATCCGAGTAGCGACCGAAAAATTTTCTTCTCTAAATTTGTTTCCTTTCACCTCATTTCCTGCTCTCTAGCAATGTTCTGTCGTCCTCTTTCGTCTCCTCTTTCTGCCCCCACCCCCTCACCTCCTTTGCTTCTTCCTCTGGGCTCCTGATTCTTTCTGCAGCCTTTCTACTGCTACTCCTTCGCTTCTTCTTACTGCTGTTTTTCAGCCACACCCCTGATCTTCTGGTAGGAAAGATCTATACCTAGCCTTCTCGGAAAAGGGCGAACAATCTCGGAGGGCCCGTGTGCAAGTTGTGCACGTTAAAGATCCCTTGGTGGTCTAAAATCGATAAGAGTGGGCTTCGGCCGCCACCCGGGCAAAAATAAAAATTTCCTACCAACTGAAAATATTAGGTGTGTCCCGCGTGCTCATATGACCTTATGCAGTTGCCAGCGCCGTAAAACACTTTACAAAAACAAATAACATATGCCTCAGATTTGCTAAAGATTCTTCGCAAATAAAGTGGTTGTGGAAAAATCTTGAAGGATTTTATTTGGTGTAAGTGCTTGTTCACCTGGGTCCTGTTTCACCAAGATTTTTTTTCAGTTAATTGGATATCTAGGTCTCCCATAGCAAAAATGTGATTGGCTGATGTTTCACATTCAAAGTCAAGTGTTTGCTTTCTGTTGCTTGTTCAGAATTCATGCTCAATAAAATGCATCAAATTTGCTAAAGTCTCCCTGCTCTTGAGACCTGGGCATAATGGAGAGAAAAGGCAAAATCGTGAGGGAAATTTTTTATTCTTTGCATTTTTTATTTGCTATGTTATATGGGCTTTGATTGTAGTGTCTGTTTGCACGTCATGGAGTTAATTTTCTAAAGACCTTTTTTTCACTCATGGTTCAATGAAAAAAAATATGGGGATACAGCATAAGGATGGTTTTCACAAATTGTTAGGATTTGTCAATCATTCATATTTAGCATTCGGTTTATAGAAATACGAATGATTTCTGCATTCTTTTGTCTCTTTTTATTTTTTTAGAGACTGTTGGATGTCACAGTTAGGGGCATGTTTGGTTCTGAATCTGGTGGGTACTGAATTGTGGAATAGGGCTTTGTTATGAGAACACATTTTGATGTAAATGACATGTGTGTGCTGCTTGGAGGATTATGGTATTGATATTGATCTGCTCATGTCTTATGAATTTATGTTACTTATCAAAAGTTGAATTCACTTCTGAATATTATGCTTTTTGTTATAATCACAGAACTGTACTAATATTGACACTGACAGTGCTTTTGTTGGAAATAATTCAGCTGTGAATTGCTACAGCAAAGGAGGAGACTAGAAGGGACAAATGTGATGACAAGTATATTCTAATGTGTTAAACTTTAAGCTCCAGATATATATAATAATAAGCTTGTGTTCCTGTCCCTTCCTCCCAACCTTAAAAAGAAGAAAAAAAAAAAGCAAGTGTGATTTGCTTATATTAATATGCTATGCTTGAATGGTATATACTACTAGGTTGCCTGGGAGGTATTGGCACTCGCAGGTTTCCTTTTGTGATTTTACCTGCCATATCACGGATATATACTATACTTACAGGGAAAAGTAAATGTGCATCCTCAGACAAAGTTTGGTAAACGAGCAACATCCTTTTGGACTTAAAGCATCCTTCCATCAGTGCTTCTTCAGTACAAGAATCGGTATGATTTCACCTTGACTTCCTTGAGTCTGCCCAAAACACATGCTAAGTAATTCTCATAGTATTGCATATTAACTTTTAAAACTTTTTTCCTATGAATATATATGTATTTCAAACAGCATTATTCTGTGAATGCTTCCCCTCGAAGGCACCCCCTTATAAGTGCAGCTGAATGTATTACTTTTCTGAGTTGTAAAGTGCTTTTTTTTTTCTAATCGCATCTGTTTTCCACCCTTGGTGACACAATTTAGACTGTACAGGAGGCAGGCTACTTGGACCCTTCCTTTCAGCTGTCCCCATGGTTTTATGCCCAAAAAATTATGAAATTATGCAAACTGAGCCCAAAAATGGTAAATCATGCGATTCCTGTAAATTTTAACAAAGAATGATAAAGGAAAATAATAAGAAATTATGCAAAAAATGATCAAATTTTTGCTAAATTATGTGCGGTGCATAAAACCACGGGGACGGTTTCAGGACCGAACTAGACTGAGTGGGAGCCAGCACCCCAACGGACAGATGGAGATACTAGGAAATATCGACCCCCCCCATTAATGAATCAAACTCCTGCACCAGATGCCGGTGTTGTCAAGTCTGTGATACCGTGTGTGTGCCAGGTATTCTCATGTTCTCACGTTGAGTTGATCTCACCCGGTTAAAGAGAAAAGTTGTGCAGGTTTTCTGCTTGAAATAATGTACTATTGACATAAGTGTTATGAACATTTTTTCACTGGTGGTTTTGGTCACGGGAGTGGCTGGTGTGCGCCACTGATGGATTTTTCTTTTCCAGGTTTGTTTTCTTCTTCTTCTATGTGTCTGTCTGTTTTGCTCAGCTGGGTCTGATGTTGTGTCCTTGGGAAATGCACTTTACATGAAGTTTCTGAGCTTGCTCTGTCTTGTTGGAGATGGATGTTACATTTGGAGGTCCTGCCTCTTAAATTACCTTTCAGTGTTGCAAGGGGTGTTAAACCTATATGCTTGCAAATTTTTTTTTCTGTTTTGCTGTTTCCCTGCTCTAAATGACCATATTGTGTTGATGTGCATCTCTTTACTCAAGCTAACATCCTGATGAATGAACATCCGTAGAGACAGAGAGTGTACGGTGGTGACTACTTGTTTAATTAACTTATTGTCAAGAGCAGTAAAAAAAGTAGTCTGATTAATGATTAATCTGTGCTTCTTTGGATATGTTTCATTTGACGCCGGTGTCCAGAGAGAGGAAGGAAGCATTGGGTGGTGTGTGTTTACATTGCACGGGCATCGTATCAATGAGGAATGTTTCTTTGCTGAAAATGTGCTAAATATCTTGCTTAAGGGATTTTATTTTAATGGTTGGAAATTGTGGAAGTGAAAGGATATAAAAATGTTCTTTCTGTTAAGCTTATTTACATATTTTAAGTTGGTGTTTTATACCCTTCCAGAAACAGATGGGCCCTGTAGTATGTTGGGCACATAATTTATCAGAATGAGTGACCTCCAGCCTTGCTTTGGACTGAAAATTTCATCACGTTTTTTTTTTTTTTTCAATTTAAAGAGAATACTCATCTGATATAGGGTATGAGATTACAGTCTAATTTTGATCCAATTTGCATTTGTGCATCTTTAATTATCATCTTGATATGAAATAATTGTCTCAGATCTTTTTTTTTAAGGTTTTGGGCTCTAATATTTGAAGACTACAGGAGGTTCTAGAACCGGGGAGGTGGTCTCAGGATACGTATTGAACGTGAGACCTTCCAGTCTGCTTGTTGTGGTTCCTGTAGAGTAACAGGAGCGGATTTAATAGCTTGGCTAGGCTGGTAAAAAATTCACCTGGTACTGTGAGTGGTTCTCCATACACTAGCTCGGCGACAGAAGTTTCCAGGTCCTCTTTTGGGACACTTCTCAAACCGAGCAGTACCCATCCCAGTTCATCGAGCCAGTTCGGGCTTTGGAGTCTTGCTTTGAGAGCACTCTTAAGGGACCGGTAGAATCGCTCAATCAGTCCATAGGATTGAGGGTGATAGGCTGTAGTATGATGAAGATTGGTACCAAGGCGCTTGGCCATCTCTCTCCACAAGGCAGAAGTAAACTGAGAGTCTCTATCGGATGTGATGTCGATGGGGATGCCAAAACGGGCGATCCAGTGGTTGATCGGCGCACAGCCACATTTTGTTGTTTAGGTGTCCTTGAGTGGGATAGCCTCTGGCCATCGTGTCGTTCTGTGGATGATTGTGAAGAGGTGAGTGAAGCCCTGCGATGGGGGTAAAGGACCTACAAGATCGACATGAACGTGACTGAACCTCTTTTCAGGCACTGAAATCTTCTCGATGGGTGCCTTGGTATGCTTTTGCACTTTTGAAGCTTGGCAGTCCGTACATTCCTTGGCCCACTTGCTGACTTCCTTCCTTAGCCCATGCTTAACAAATCTCTGATATATCAGGCGGACTGTAGCCTTCCTTCCTGGGTGGGAGAGGCTATGAAACAAATTGAAGACCTGTCGACGAAATGCTGGAGGTACAATTGGTCTAGGATGTCCGGTCGAAATGTCACACAGCAGTTCTGATCCTCCAGATTCGATAGCCATTGAAACTGCGCGCAATCCTGGGGAAGAGGCGCTGTCGTCTGGAGAAGAGGTGTCAGTGCATTGGGCTTCAGCCATTGCTTTGTAGTCCAGTCCCAATGTAGTCTGGAAAATGGCTCAGGACAAACAGTCCGCAACAACTTTCTCCCTCCCTGAAATGTGCCGTATGTTCGTGGTGAATTCTGAGATGAATGTCAGGTGACGTTGCTGGCGAGCTGACCAAGGTGGGGATTACTTGGACCTAGCGTCCACCAGAGGCTTTTGATCGGTGAGTGCTGTGAAGCACTTCCCCTCAAGCAAAAATTGGAAGTGACAGACATCAAGATAGAGTCTTAATAATTCCCGATCATATGTGCTGTACCGTTGTTCTGGTGGGTTGGTTAATATCGAAAGTCCCCGAGTAGCTGTGCTGTTGTCGAGGGTGGCAACAACATGGTAGTATTTAGTTTCGTCTTGGGTGATATTCCGCACAGCGAATTGCGCTTCAGTTTGGGCGAACCAAGCTTCCTGCCCGGCTGTTCAAAATGTTGGTAGTTTAATCGAAACTGTACTTACTTGACGATCCTTGTCACACATTTTGAAAGGATTGTGGTAAGGGCTGTGATGAAAACGCAAGTCCGCTCAAATATGATTCAACATATAATCCAAGACAGAACACACAAAGTTAAAAATGCGTTTCAACTTGTCGGGGTCACCAATGTAGGTAGGTCTTTACTCATCAGAATTTTCTACTCGACTGCTGTGTAGGACAGTCGGGTCAGGCGGTGTTTCCATCTGAGCACT